TGGATGACATGTTGTCTTGAGCACAGTACAGCATGCCATCTCATGTCTCCCATCAATATTAGAAGCTTGGAACACTTCTAATTATTAATATTTTTTGAGAGAACGAATTTTTAATCTTATAAAACACCAACCATCAAGCTCTTAAAATTGTTTTATAAAATATATTTTTTTATCAAAGTAATATCATCTTAATCCTTTTTAACTTTTTTTTTGGGGTTAAGCTCTTAAATATTTTTTATAACCATCTTTACGTAGCTTCTAATCAAGTTGAAGTAATTTCAAATAAAATTTTAATCACTATGTTCTTTTTCATAGTTTGGTTCTTGAGAAATAATCGTTCATGATATGCATATATATATATATATATATAAAGAGAAAAAGAATAGGTTAAAAACCCAACAATAATGAATCTGGTCGAGGCAACATTTTCAAATTTTGAAACCACTTTTCCCGTTCAAATTCCAATCTGTGGTCACCACTTGGTGGTGGGTCTGAAATCAAAACACCAACTAGTATAACGTCGCGTGGCAGTGGCAGTACTGCTGGCTAGATTCTGGTGGCTGATCAAAAACCATTGGCCTGATGGAATAAAGTTTTATTTTTCTTTGCTACCATGCACAGGAGGAGCAGACACTTCGATCCCACATTCCGGGCTACTTTAATGGAGTCAAGTCAAGAGAAAATTATACAGTGAGTTAAGATTGAAAACTCTTGTATATATCAAGTAGCAGTGATCTGCTTTGGAAGTCGTAGAACTTAAACAAACAAGTGCTATACCATCGAGTGGGTGCTTCTTTCAATCCAGGGAAGATTCAGTTTAGGGTGGGAGACACGAGTTGACGAATCAACTCAACTTATAGGTTTACAGGTCACCTAATCAACCTTTGGAGATAGATTTTATATATAATTATGAAATAATATATAACTTTTGCCATAGAGTTCATCTCAAAGAAACTTTCTGTGATTGTAACTCAAAATAGTGCATGATGATATCTAGGCAAGATATATTTATTTATCATACATAATTAACCAATAATCTAATTATTGGTTGGTGCCTGCCTTACTTGCAAAGTTCGAGCTAGTATCAAAAAAAGAAATGTTTGGTTTCTGTATGTTGCACCAAGGCGTGTAATTATGCTGCCCACCAAGATAATTATGGGACCAAAAACCTAATTATTAATCCACTTCCACCGATATAATTATGGGACCCAAAAACCTAATTATTAATCCACTAAAGTGGCAATAAGAAATAGTTGGTTTTTATATATTTTTAAAAAAAATTAAATTTTTTTCTCAATGCTTCAAATTAGTTGTTTTTCAGATCTTGATGTGTAATGTTAAAAAATAAATTTTAAAAAATAAAAAAAATATTATTTTAATTTATTTTAAAATAAAAATATTTTAAAAAATAAATGTTATATATTTTTACTATAAGAGATACATGTGAATCAGTGTGCCCAACAACTCCTTGCATGACACATGGATTGTTTCTAAAGAATTTAGTTGCAGAGCTACATGGTTCAAGATCCTTCAGGCTTATGCTTGTCTCTTCATTCTCAATTATGTGTAGATTTACCAAATCAAAATGAAAAATCTTACATGATTAATTAAAAGGGTATGCTTTTGTGAATATGAAGGTGTTGCTTCTTTCTCTTGGTATTAGGGGCCACCATGGCTGCTGGTGGAAGAGGTTGATGGTTAGCCAAGACATTGACCACTTCCCTACCCCCTTTGAATACAATTTTCAAGAAACAATACAAGAATACAAGGTTAGAGAAATAGAAAGTTGAGGGACCGGACACCTTAATAACTACGTGTTTGCTAATTATTCTGTCCTAATTACATTTTAAATTTGTTTTACCGATTAAAAATTATTAACAAAATATTCTGTCAATATTTAGGTAATATTTCATTGTTGATTTTATTATTAATAGAATTCTCAATAGAAATATATCATTAAAAAATATCTTGTTGAAGTTTTTATTTCATCAGCGATGAAATTTTTCTTGAAAATCAATGATGAAATATTTATCATCTATAATTTTATTCAATATTCTAGATGTGTTCACATGTCACTACTTTTGTTTGCAAGATCTAAATCAGAGAGGTTTGCTGTAACTTATTTGACATAAGCTTAATAATTAGAAACAAGAAAAAGAAACAAATCTATTGCTTTCAATTGAAACTAGAAGAAATACAAAATTAAGTTTCATATTGGCCCTAAAAAGGGAAAAAATAGGGTCACTTCATAATTAAATATATTTGAAAGAGAAACTAGAACGAGCTTAAATTTCATGGGATCACGGACCTCTTAATTGGATCAATATCATACTACAAAAATAGACAATTGTGAGCTTCAAAAGTCCAACCTTGATGGGGTGAAGTCAAGATCACAGAAAAAATAAAATAAATAAAAAAAGACTTTAATTAGCTGAAATTTATAGGTGAAATATCGCTCTTGCCTATATATATCCTAGTTGCTTTATTTGAAAGTTATGCTAATGGTGTCATACTGACTAGCATTATACATTAATACCTGCATTGTACCGACTAGCAGGGTGTTCAAAAAAATCAAAAAACCGATTATTGTCAAATGCCTATGATTTTTCCATCTCATATATTGCAGGCCTTCAATTTATTTCATTCTAGAATCTCTAGCTTTTTACTGGAAAAACCGAACCAAAAAAATAACCCGATTAAACCGATTAAAATTTTGAAAGTCTCCCAATTATGGATAATGTCTTGAGTCTCGATGTAGTCTTTAAAGGGTTTTTTTAATCTCAATTTGAGTCTTTAAAGTATTAAATAACTCTAATTAAGTTTTTTTTTCCTAAACTCTTCACAAATCTTTAACATAAAATGTTAAATTTTCTACAAAGCAATGTTTCTTACGTAAAACAATTTGGATGGAATCCATGAATGAGTATGAATGGAGGGCTTAATTGAGAACTTTTTAAAGTTTGGCGTCTAATTGAGATAAAAAATGTTTTGAACACTTATTCAAGGCTACCTATGTAGTCAGGGGATTTTTTTGAAGGCATGCCCTTTTCTTTTTATCTGGGAGGGAATTGTAAGAATTTTTTTTCGTGAATATAGTAATTTGGATAATTTATTTGAGTAAAAAAAAAAATTCGATTCACTGAAACCAACCACAAAATAATATTATTGTTAAATTAAAAAAATATTTTTGCTTCCCCGACCTTGTGGGATTTAGTTGATGCATATATCTTTCTTTTCATGACACAGAATATCTAAAAAAAAAAGAAAGAAAAATAAAGAATTTCACTCGTAAAAAATAAATGATCAAAGATATCATAATTAAACATATTTTATCAAAAGATAGATTATAAATACAAACTTAATGATCTTCAGAAATTATCATGAAAATTAATGACCATCTATTTTTTTAAAAGTGAATCTATCGATAGTTTTCTCAAAAAAAAAAATATTTCTTCTCGCTAAAAACTTTAAATTAATATTTTTAAAACAATGCACTCGATCAACTTGTCTTTCAAGTCTTAATAAATCTGCATGAATTATGTTCTTGATCGGCATCTGATCATTTGAAACCCTAGAGTATCTTCAGGCGCCAGTCAGTCATCATCAACAAATTAAAATTAGCTGAAAGGATGTTATAAAAAGGGATTATCAATCTCCCTTCTCACCCTCTTCTTCTTAATGACAGTTAAGTATATTATAATTAATCATCGATGGAGATACTTGTTCCTTTTTATTCTGGCACTGAAAAAAAAAATTATTCAGAGATTAAGACTTTAATCTTAATTACCTTTCTTTAGTAAAAGCTAATTTTCTAACTGTAGTAATTATTCAGAGATTAATACTTTAATCTTAACTACCTTTCTTTAGTAAAAGCTAATTTTCTATCTGTAGTAATCCCTCTTGCAGGAATGAGTTATGCTAGAGGAGTAATGTTAGCAATCCTATATGAAATTTCTCCATCAATATGAGCAGATGGAATTAACCAGTAAATTCCATCTAGAAAAATTCCTTATCAATCAGATATATGTGGGGATAAATTCATAATTATTAAATTTAGTCAAATCCCGTGCTGTGGGTTTGCTGGATCTACCTCAAAGCAATATTTTTTTTATAAAATAATTATATTTTTAATAAATATATATTATTTTTTAAATAAAAAATCTTTGAAGTTGATTCAGCTTAGTCTCATCTAAATTTAACTAAATTAATTGAATTTAAGTAAATTAACTTGTGTTTAACCTAATAAATTTTCAAATTGTTTTAAGATGAAACCTAATTGAACTAGATTATTGTTAGATTTAAGTTGAATAATCATGAATGTATATTTAATATAGTTTAAAAAATAAACTTAATCTCAATTGTTCTTAAAAATAAATCTCTCTTATATGCTATGAACTATTAAAAAAATGAATAAAAAAAATCATCATCAATCCCCTGTAGTAACTAAAAAAATTCACCAATAAAAAACTGTGATATTTATTTTCATTATTTATTTTTAAACTAGGGAAGTTTTCATACACCAATAAGAGAGTAACATTTGGGTAGGTAGGTAACTTTGTACACATTCATGCACATTATTAAAAGAATAAATATAGTAAACCTAAATCATTGGTTGGACATGCATTTTGTTTTCACTCAAATAATATTAGTTCAACTATTCATTTTTATTTATTAAAATTAAAAATTAAAAATATTATTTTAATATATTTTTAATTAAAAAATATATTTTTTTAAAAAATACTATACATTATCTTCAGTCCATTTGAATCTACCCTGACTGACAAAAAAACACGGCAAAAATGACCCCACAAAAACCAAGCAAAATGACAATAACAGTAAAACATTTACAACTTTATATCCACAGATCTACAAATTAAGAAAAAAAATAATAAAAAAATAATTCTAAAAAAAATGCGAATTACTGTTACCAATCAAACATCAAACCCAATAAACGCGTCCTTTCCTGATTTGTACCTTTCTCCTATAAATAAAAATAACAACTTCTTGATATTTACATCCTGTGTGCTCCAAGAATATAAAAATAATACTAGGTGCTCTCCAATGGCTGCAAAACCATCAGCGACGCTCCTTTTCTCTTCTATATTTTAAAGAAAAAACACCTTCTTTCAACAGCCTTTCAATGGATTTCATCAGAATTAGCATCTCTTCAATCCTTTCTTGGATTCCCTTAGAACATGTTCTTTGATAGCCAAATCACCAAAGTTGAACAAAAAAAAAAGAAAATCTTGTTGAGTTCTTGAGCTAAACGAGAGGAGGAGGAGAATTGTTTTTCGTTTTTCAAATATGGAGGAGAGGCATGTTATTTTTGGGAAGTACGAAATGGGGAGGCTTTTAGGGAAGGGAACTTTCGCTAAAGTTTACTATGGGAAACACTTGGTGACAGGAGAGAGTGTGGCAATCAAAGTCATAAGCAAAGATCAAGTCAAGAAAGAAGGGATGATGGAGCAAATCCAGAGAGAAATCTCAGTCACGCGTCTTGTTCGTCATCCCAACATTGTAGAGCTCAAGGAAGTCATGGCTACCAAGACTAAAATCTTCTTCATCATGGAGTATGTTCGAGGAGGAGAGTTGTTTGCCAAAGTAGCCAAAGGAAGGCTGAAAGAAGAAGCTGCTCGAAAATATTTCCAGCAACTAATCAGCGCAATTGATTATTGTCATAGCAGAGGTGTTTATCATAGAGATTTGAAGCCAGAGAATTTGTTGCTTGATGAAGATGAGAACTTGAAAATCTCTGATTTTGGCCTGTCAGCGTTGCCTGAACAATTTCGGCAAGATGGGCTTTTGCATACCCAGTGTGGAACTCCTGCGTATGTTGCCCCAGAAGTCTTGAGAAAGAAAGGCTATGATGGATCGAAAGCTGATATATGGTCATGTGGGGTGATTCTTTATGTGCTTCTTGCAGGATTCTTGCCATTTCAAGAAGAGAATGTTATGAAGATGTACAGGAAAGTTTTCAAGGCTGAATATCAGTTTCAGCCTTGGTTTTCAACAGATTCCAAGAGGTTGATTTCAAGACTTCTTGTTGCTGATCCTGAAAAGAGAATCACAATTCCTGCCATAATGAGAAATCATTGGTTTCTTAAAGGGTTTTCTAGACCAATGGCCTTTTCTGTCCAAGAATCAAACATGGATAAAACAGGACAAGAACAAGATCTTGATTCTTGTTCTGTTGTCAACGCCAAGGTATCATCACCAGAATTCTTGAATGCATTCGAGTTTATTTCCTCAATGTCATCCGGCTTTGATCTGTCAAGTCTCTTTGAGACTAAGAGGAAATCAGGCTCAATGTTCACTTCAAAATTTTCAGCGAGTGCTATCATGGAAAAAATTGAAGGGGTTGCAAAGGGGCTGAGTTATAAGGTGGCAAAAGTCAAAGATTTCAAGGTGACGTTACAAGGTCCATGTGAGGGAAGAAAGGGGAAGCTGGCAGTGACGGCGGAGGTGTTCGAGGTGGCACCGGAGGTTGCGGTGGTGGAGTTCTCCAAGTCTTCCGGAGATACCTTGGAGTATAGTAGGTTCTGGGAGGGAGGTGGTAGGCCTGCACTAAAAGACATCGTTTGTACATGGCAAGGAGACAATGTTTGTAATAAAGATAACAACAATAGTCATGTAGAAGATCGTGAAATTAAAAAGTTGTAGAAAGGCTTTGATCTTAATTTGGTGAGTTTTAGGATTTTATATAATCTGTAAATAAGTTTTTGTTATTTAATTAATGCATCAAGTTGAGTGTTTTTGTTAAGCATAGTATATGTAGTATGTGTGCGTGCTCCCGTGTGTGTATAAATACTAATATTAATTGAGACAAGTGCTTATTTATAAGAATTTAATCTTTTATATATTTTTCTAACACCACCAAAATTATCATAAAATTTGAAAGATGATCTCTAATGATCAAAATTGGTTTAATTGGATCGTCTTAATTTCAGTTTTTATTGCAAGATATTTCCATAGTCGATGGAAGAAAATAATCATGGATGCCACCAGCATAATTAGAGGTGGGTTAGTGTTGCTTAATTCAAAAAAATTGATTAAAACTGAAAAATGATGAGTGGACTTCAAGAAACAGTAAAGAAGAAGACGTGTTCTTGGTACCTTATGGATTCAATTATTAAAATAACGAGGTGAGAAAAAGGTGAAGACTAGCTGATTTGTTTAATCCATTGATACATCAAGTCTTTTGTCATGCTAATCCTAGCCAGCAAGAACCACTTCTCCAATCATGATTCTTCTCTTCTTCAACATGCTTAAGAATGATCGTTTCAAGGGATTGAATTTTTTTTTTTTATATATATATATATATATATATATATATATTGAATGCGATTCACAGCTAGATAGTTATTTTTAAGAGTCAAACCAACCATGAGAAATAGCAATTAATTCAATTATTAACAACTTGTGACTTGTCAAGGACTTGTCTTTAACCTAATTAATTGTACTAAAATTTAGCATCTCATTGACTTAGAACATAATCAATAAAATTAATAGTGTAAGGATCCTAAATATACAAATATCTTTTTAATTTAAAACAAATGACTTGGATGACAAGTGAATTTGTTTGTTTAATATCAATTTGATTTTAAACGAATATATGCATTATCGTTTTGAATCATTACACTCTTAATACAAAAATACTTGTTAAAATCAAAATCCTCTATTTAAAAAAAAAAACTTTAGGATAATATTTGATTAATATCTCAAAATAATAACTAAATAAGTGAGAACTCTCGTGAAAATTAGACCATGTTTATTTTTGTATTTCAAAAGTATTTTTTAAAAATCTTGGAATATTTTTATTTTTTTACTTTAAATTATTATTTTAGTGTTTTCATGTAATCTTGTGTGATGATATTTAAAAATAAATTTTTAAAAATAAAAAATTATTTTAATATATTTTCAATTAAAAATTACTTTAAAAAACAATCAATCATTATTATACAAAACAAAAACTTAAACTTAACTGATCATGTCTAGATTTGCTTTATCAGAGATTATCGATTTGAGTATTATAAATTTTAGAGTTATCAAAAGCTTTCATAGCCAGTAATTTTAGTGTTCATAAAATTAAAATATTAAAAACTGATATAAATTATATAAAGATAATTTTTTAACCTAATTAAGCTATATTAATATTAAAGCTGACTCGTACTCCTAAATTAATTTTAAAAAACAAAAATAAAAAAACTTAAACTTAAAGGGTCCTTCACGGGGTGGAAGATGCATTAATAATGGTAGGCAAGAATTATATAAAAGTAGTTAAGCTTTCATTGTCTTAATGGTTTCCCTTCCCAGCCATCTGTGTCAATGCTCTTCAACCATCACCAGTTCTGGCATGGCCACATCCAAGAAAAGAGGGCCGGCATTTCTCCAAGCTTTTTCTGAAATTAGCACAGTAGCAAATTGTGTATAAGGACAAAAGTTTCTAGCTCTACCATTTCTCAGAAACCACAACTTGGGGCTGTGCCTAATTTAATAATGACAACTTGCAACTTAGATCATGTTTACTTTTATATTTTAAAAGTATTTTTTAAAAATCTTGAAATATTTTATTTTTTTTATTTTAAATTATTATTTGAGTGTTTTCATGTGTGTGCTAATATTAAAAAATAAATTTTAAAAAATAAAAAAATATTTTAATTATTTTCAATTAAAAAATCTTTAAAAAACAATAATTACTATACAAAACAAAAACTTAAACTTAACTTATCAGATCTTAGGTTTGCTTCCTCAAAAATCACCTGTTCGATTACCACAATTCTTAGGACCACTAAAAATGTTCATAGTCATTAATTTTAAAATTTATAAAATTAATATGTCAAAAAATAATATAAATTATATATTAGAATTTTACTTAATAACTTATAAAGTGAGATAATTTTTTAACATAATTAAGGTATATTAAAGCTGACCGGGACTCTTAAATTAATTTAAAAAATAAAAAATAAAAAAACTTAAACTTAAACTTAAAGGGTCCTTCACGGGCTGGAAGATGTATTAATAATGGTAGGCAAGAATTATATAAAAGTAGTTAAGCTTTCATTGTCTTAATGGTTTCCCTTCTGGCATGGCCACATCCAAGAAAAGAGGGCCGGCATTTCTCCAAGCTTTTTTCAGAAATTAGCACAGTAGCAAATGGCGTATAAGGACAAAAGTTTCTAGCTCTACCATCTCTCGAGTGGGAGAGACCAGAAACCAAAACGTGGGGCTGTGCCTAATTTAATAATGACAAGGAAAGGTACATGGGAGGGAATGTGGGAGGGCTGCTAGATGGATAACTCCCTTGCTAGCTCCTCACCACCACTCATATTTTCATTTCTTTATTTTTCTTGTTTTACCCTATTTTTCTAAAATTAGAAACTAAGATCTTTCACACAATAATAGAGCTTAGATTTATTATATTGAGAGAGAAAAAAAAAAGTCTTGGCCACTCACTGCCATGAAAACAAAAAAAGAAAAAGAAAAAACAAGTCTTGGCCACTCACTGCCATGAAAACCCTCCAAACGTGAGTGTCTTTGCTTCTGTCTTCGGGCATGACTCCTGCATAGAAAACAGCTCTGGTACCTCCATGAATCAAACACCACTCGGTTGAATTCGACATCTTTTGAAGAAGAAATATCTATTATTAATCCATAGATAAAAGTTGATGCCATGTTAATTCTTTCTTTATTTAAAATCTTATTAATTCACTGATGATCATCGTATTTGGATTCTTTGATAATGAACACATTTAATTAATTTATTCATTATCATAAAAATACTTTAAATTTTAAAATTTATTCTATTAAATAAATACTCTTGAAATTTGCACAAACAAAACTCTTATTTTAACCGCTAAAAAGAAACTTGGCATGCATCATTAAAAAAAGATATTTTAATTCAAATATTTAAATCATTGACAAGGTGAATAAAAACTAGTGTTTCAAACTAGAGAGGAATAAAAATAAAAAATTGATATTTTCTGAAAAGTCTAAAATCCAATAATCTAATTTGAAAAAAAAAAGTCTACAAGGCTGTTTGAATATATAAAAAAAAAAACATTATAACTAGTAAAATTATAATTAGGAAAACCTTAATTAAATTAAAAGTCTCAATCTAATTAAACAAAAAACTCCAAATACAAGGAAAATAAAAGAAATCCTGAACATAAACTTCTAGGATGAATTCGGACATGTTGGTAGACTTGGATGAAGTTTTTTTCATATTCTTCTAGGTAAAATGACCATAATAAATAAATAAATAAATAATATATATATTTTCTTGTTTGATTATTTAGTTTTCTTCTTAAACTAAAACTTTTGTTACGCTATATACATCAATTATTAAATAAAACCATATAAATAATTTTATATTCTATATATCTAACATAATAATAACGAAGAGTCGATAATTAAATAATTCTTGAGTAGAAGAAACACAACGTCTAGAAACTAAATTATGGGTCCAAGTTATTTTTGCTTGCAAGTATATGTGTTTTGAGCTCTCAAGGGAACATTTTGGAATTTGTTTGTAATATTCTTCTCTCTCCCTCGATTTTTTCAAAAAAATCTCGCCATCGCAGCCTTTGTTGACAAAAAGGTGGTCGACCTCCTCCAAAAAATTGGCAAACTTTCCAAGACTTCCAAAAATAATTTGCAATAGCCGCCCTTATAAATCTTTGTAGCCTTTATTTTCAGTTGAAGGTGACATGAATCTTGAATATATAACATGAGAGACCAATTTTATTTTATAGTAATCATAATAATAATAATAATTACTTCACTGAAAAACTATCCTAAATTGATTAGTTAGGTGTGTAAATTTTCTATGCATGGATAAGATCAAGGCGTTGAACATTGGGAATTCTACAAGACTTTTTCACATAAATTATTTATAATACTTTATTTGAAAATTTGGAAAGATGCATCTCGATTAAAATTTTTAGATATTTTTTTAAAATATGTTTATTTTGAAAAAAAAATTTGTTTTAATGTTTTGAATGAATTTAATGTACTGATATAAAAATAAAAAAATTTATTTTTATATATTTTTTAATAAAATTTATTTTTGAAATGCATCCTATATCACAATATCAAACATATTTATAAAAAAAAATTAAAAAAAATTCTAGTCACATAATCCCTCCCTTGTAAAAAAAAAGAATAATTTTGTTATTAAAATCTATGGAAAGACATAACAACAAATCTTGATCATACTAAAATTATTAGTCAAAGTTAATTGATATATAGGGTCCATATAAATCTTTGAAATTGCAAAATCCCTTGTTAAATAACAGCCACTTGACAAAAGAAACAATCGAACAAACACACAAAACTGTCAATGTGGGAATTTATCATCATAAATAAAGCAATATATGGGGAGGAAAAAAGCTTGCCCACTCACTTGGATCAAAACAATGAGCTCCACCTCCACCTCCACCTCCACCTAAAAACAAAAAATATTACTATTTCAAGTCGTGTATGAAAGCAACCATGAGCAGCAGACACAAGTACTGTTGCTCATGTTTGACCATTAATCATGGATTTTTTCTTCTTCGTTTTCTCCTACTGGTTTGATATATGCAAGCACAATCTATATATGGAAGGCTAATGAAGGACTTCCAAGTGGTTGTTTTAGAGAAGGTTATGAGAAACGTGTAGGGAGATGTGATATGATCACAGAAAAGGGTAGACAAATCTGAATGATTAAGAGATTTATATCTAATCTCTGTTTATGTAATAAGATGGTTTTTGGTACATGGG